CAAGCTAAAGGAGAAGATATGTTTTCTTTATCCAAGATTTGATAAATGAATGGTTATTGAAACAAGGTAAACATTTATATGTCAGTCATTAAAGCTGCTTGCCTCTAGATTTTTTAAAAAAAGATAAAAGGTTCAGATAATATTTTACGTGATGACAGATATTGCATTATTTTTAACCATATTTCTCCTGCGTGACTAACGCAGTAGGGGCTGTTTTTGCAATTTTTGACCTCTTTTTGGGAAATTTACTTAGAATGTAAGAACCGTTTGCAAAGTGTAAATTACTTTCGTTGTTCAGTTCACAATATTTGATCTTAAATACATTTTCAACATTTTAATGAAAATTAGCATGAATCTGGAGGCATGCGGCTTTAATCCAGTAAGTATCTAAATTAAGATAGTGACTGAAAATTGAATTCAAGTTTCATTTGTGGAGATCTTGGAAGAGCGGCAGGAGGTCTCTTTTTCAAATGAATACCGCAATGTCGACGCAGATAGATATGCATTTTAGGAGTCAAATTTAACCGCTGTGAGTTCAAAACCTGCCAGGGACTTTGTATTCTTTCATGTGAGTAAGCTATCCAGCTAGCTTATGGAGCGTCGGTGGTTCTAATCGGTTGGTGGTCCGTGCCCGAATCAATGCACGAAGCGGTCACATGAGTTGTTAACCAGAGTCGCTGTATGATCGCGACAATAGACATAGACATAAAGAGGAATATTTTGAGACTGAGCGCAAAAAATGGCAAGTATCGTGATATACTTTTTGTTATTCATATCCGCTCCGTAGCGGGACCATTACATATAAATGAACAAATGAACTAATGTAAAAAGTCATGAACCCATGCACTTCTTTCCTTTTTTGTCTTTCCTTTATTTATTTTTTGCTGACGCTAAAACGATCCTTACTTATAGTTAGTTGGACGACTTGTATAACAACAGAATTTAACATTCCATAATAACAACAAACTGTTTCGTCATTAAAAGGGAGTGATAGCCTACCTCGCAACACAGGGATCGTTAGGTTAAAACCTTACTCCGGTCACGGTATTCATTTCTGATTTTTGACACCAATGACAGTAAGTTCCAAGAAGCTAACACAAAGGTGTTCGATATAAGTGTCAAGACGAGTACAAACAAATACGTACATGTGTAAAGCTGAATCCGCATTCTCGTGAACAAACAAAAAAAGGTTCGTTGCGGATGTTGAGTCTAAATCATTTTCTGTCAGGTGGGCTAAAGATACATGTATAAGAAAATGAACCATTTGATCATGATTCCGGCTCACAAAAAGTTAAATTAGATATATTTGGGAAAATCAGCATATACTATTATCAGAAAAGAATATTCGTTTCCTTGACGTTGCATTTCAATCAAATAATTATTGTCAGTATTCACACAATACTTTTATATATTATACCTCTTTTGCATATGCTCTTCTATATTTAATATGACGTCACCCGGTCCATAAACAGCATACAGACCGGGGACGGTCCATAATTTTTTATGAAGACCGTTTAAACGTGCGAATTTTACGACGACACAAACAGACGATAACTGTCAAAATGGCCAGGCGATTCGCCTTTTTATCAGAGACATAAATTCATTACATGTTGATCAAAAGTCATGATTTATCTTTAATTTGATTATAAATTTTATTTATACAGTTTGTGAAATTCTAAAAGTCCGGGGTATTTGCCTAGTAACATTAAATATTTAATTTGATTAACAAAAATGGAATATTAAAAGAAGAACGTGATTTTTTGCTGCATCGTTTGAAACTAAATAAACAAAATCCGACTAGGGTTTGAGATATTTCACACTCTGAACAAGAAAAATTATTATTTGAAAGCAAATAATAGTAAAATAACAGCACAAAACAAATGGATGAAAGGATTTAGATTCGGTATAATATATAACAAATAAAACATGGCCTTTCGAGCAAAATGCAAGTTTACGGACTGGTTGGTCAGACCACGGAAGGAGTATGGCCCTCAGCTGCGCTTCGGGCCATATACCTTCCTCAGTCTGACCAACCAGTCCGTAAACTTGCATATTGCCCTCAAGCCCATGCATGTTTTATTTGTTAATTGTAATTTACTTTTAGAAAGAGTTCCTCTGAGGTTCAAAGATTTAAAATCATGAAATTTGAAAATCTTACATGGATCAAAGATGACATATGAGAAATATGATAAAGTAATTGAATGGAAAATCGTTATTTAGTGCGATTATAAATCATGTGAAAGGGTTTTCATTTTAGGTCATTTTGCACCCTATAACGATTAATCTGATGAGCGAATGATCTGAAATTTTGCGCACAAGTTATCAGTTCAACAAAAACAACAAATTTATATGTAAAAGCTCAGTGTTATCCTTTTTATATCTAAGAAACAATTTGATTTGTTCCTTTGTTTCAATAAATGTATTAATATTGTTTTGACCAACGCCTGTCTAAAAATAAAGTTATTGGTCCACACGTTGTGTGTGTTTGTTTTCCGGCCGACATTTTTAACTTGTGGTTAAAAACATTATTATATTACCACCAACGTCCTTTAACTATTTTTATGACAATATTTGATACATTTATTCAATTTCCTTTCATGCTTAGAAGGTCATCTTTTGACACGAACAATTTATGACCAGCCCATTTATGACAAAAAAGTGGCTACAAAGTTACATCACCGCGGAATAATTTCAATAATCACGCTTCGCATTATCAATATTAATTTTACAACTTTTTACCGCAAGTATTAACGTATTTATGATATACGTGTTACTTTATTTAGTATTTTTTGCTATATTTAATAGACAAGAACGGAAGCGTTGTCAAGCAGATCCGCTTACCGTAACGCCTTCTTTACGGTGACGTAAACGTTACGGTGGCTAAACGTTACAGTTATGTCGATTCGCTGACATACAACAAGAGAAATGACAAATTTTACAAAGTTTACTCCCATACGCACCTTAATTGTAAATAATTGTGACAAATGAAGTAATGATTTACTGTCAGTTTAAAACGAGTTATCTTACATTGTTAATTTGAATCGTTCTCAATGAATACATAACTACACCTAAACGAAAATGGCCGTGCATAGAGGATTATAACACAGTGTTCCAGCACGTTAAAGGTATGTTTAGTTTAATAGTATTTATGTTTCTTGAATTAAGACTTATCATTTATCTCTAGTCATAACTTCATGTTAATTTATATACCTCTACCATTAACATGTGTGTCTTATCAAGCAACTTGTATAATTTGATTCCAAGCAATGCGTTCTGCTATATACGATAGGCATTCAATACATTTTAAAGCAGCATGCCACCAGATTAATGCCAAACCTCATGTTAATTTCGAAAAATGTATTCAAAAATAAAATAAAGTGTTAAGTGAACAAAGAAAGTAATTTACACATTGCAAACGGCCTACAATTCATGTAAATTACCAGAAAAAGGACATAATATGCAAACATAGTCCTTCGTGCGTTAGTCAAGCAGTAGAAATATGGTGGTAAATGCTGCAAAATCAGTCATTAATCGATCGCACATAACTTGAAATTATTACCTGAATCTTTAATCTTTATACTTTTCTTTTAAATCTTAGTACATTTTTCACAAGTTTGATTTTATCGAAATATTTTGGCTCATCTGATGGCATACAGCTTTAGCATTGTATGCGATATACTTTAATATACGGACATACTGGATTAAGTATGCAATATACTTTAATAAACGAAAGTACTGGATTAAATATGCGATATACATTAATATACGGAATTCCTGGATTAAGTATGCCATATACTTTAATATACGGAAGTCCTGCATTAAGTATGCCATATACTTTAGTAATATACCGAAGTGCTGGATATGCGATATGCTGGAGTAAGTATCGATCATTATATAAAATGATTGACCATGACTTTCAACCGTTTATCATTTAGTACTGGAAAACCATGAAGAGGGATGGGGTCCAAGTCTAAAGACGGCAACAAATTCTACTCATTACACTCATGTCGTCTGATCATGGTCTATTTAGTCACTACTTATTATGATTTCCCCCCATAAATGATAAATGGTTCTGTCCACATTGGAAGATGGGCAAGTCCATTTGAGATATTTAGCATGATTAGGGTTAATGATCAATCTTTATCAAACGCTATTTATAGAAAGTTTACTTTTTCTAGGACTTTCTTGCGTCAATTTGAAAGAATCAATTACGACCTTAACGTAAATCAATCTTCGAATGAGTCTATCTCCATTCAGCCACATATATATTTAGCTCCATGATCCAGTTTACTAAGTATATATGTGCACCAACTTCAATGAACTGAAAAATATGTTCTTTATATAGACAATAAACGTTATATTTACATCCTAATATGCGCGTTCATTTAAAATAATTGTCATAATTATAAAGCAATCAAATCGAAAGTATAAACAATCGTTCGACCTTGTTGATAAGTATAATTTATTCTTGTGTATGAACATCTGATGTAGAAAATTTGTTATTCATGATCCTCACATTTGTAGAATAATTTATTTCATTTGTAGTTCATTTGTATTTCATTAAATGACATTTCCTGTATATGTTATGACATTCTGTCCAAAAATAAAGGCGAAAAATAAATTTATACTTCAAAAATAACTTTCATATTTTGCTATCATAGATAATTCGTTATCTGTTGAATGTGTCAGATATATACAACAATTTATTGTTCAACTGATTATTCAAAACCAGTCATTCTATTCCATTCATTTACTTTCCATTCCACTTCATTCCAAACCATTGAATTCCATTCTACTCCACCCCACCCCACACCATTGCATTGCTTTCTATCCCACTCCATTCCATTCCATTCCATTCCATTCCATTCCTTTCCATTCCATTCCATTCCACTCCACTCAACCCTATCCCACTCCATTTCATTCCTTTCAATTCCACCCCACTCCACCCAATCCAACTGCATTCCATTCCTTTCCATTCCACTCCTCTCCACCCTATCCAACTACATTCCATTCCTTTCAATTCCACTCTTCTCCACCCTATCCAAGTCTATTTCATTCCTTTCAATTCCACTCCACTCCATTCTATCCAACTGCATTCCTTTCCTTCCGATTCCATTCCACTCAACCCTATCCCACTCTATTCCATTCATTTCCATTCTACTCCACACCACCATATCCCACTCTATTCCATTCCTATTAATTCCACTCCAATCCACCCTGTCCCACTCCATTTCATTCCTTCCCATTCCACTCCACTCAACCCTATCCAACTGCATTCCTTTCCTTCCCATTCCATTCCACTCAACCCTATCCCACTCTATTTCATTCATTTCCATTCTACTCAAAACCACCATATCCCACTCTATTCCATTCCTATCAATTCCACTCCTCTCCACCCTATCCCACTCCATTTCATTCCTTTCAATTCCACCCCACTCCACCCTATCCAACTGCATTTCATTCCTTTCAATTCCACTCCACTCCACTCCACTCGACCCTATCCAACTGCATACCATTCCTTTCCATTCCACTCCTCTCCACCCTAACCCACTCCATTTCATTCCTTTCAATTCCACCCCACTCCACCCTATCCAGCTGCATTTCATTCCTTTCAATTCAACTCCACTCCACTCTACCCTATCCAACTGCATTCCATTCCTTTCCATTCAACTCCTCTCCACCCTATCCCACTCCATTTCATTCCTTTCAATTCCACTCCAATCCACCCTATCCAACTGCATTTCATTCGTTTCCATAAATATTTTCACTCCACGCCACCCTATCCCACTCAATTTCATTCCTTTCCAATTAAATCCACTCCACCCAATCCCACTCCATTTCATTTCTTTGAAAATACATGCAATCAAAAATATGACGAGGTCTTTACCATCAGTCGCGTTCTTAGTGCAAGGACGTCTAACAAAATATGTAATTTGCTTAAGTGGTTTCAATTATTCAAAGGGATAATAACTAAAAAGAATATCGAACGAATTTAGATGAAAATAAATGATAATAAATAATAGTGATTGAGTAATGCTTACCAACAAAGCGAACACGGTCATATACAAATAAAAACAAATGAGCCGCGTCACGATGAAACAAACGTAATGCGTTTGCGACAAGCATGGATCCAGACCAGAATCAGGATCAGGATCAGGATCCATGCTGTTCGCTTACAAACCCTATAACAAGTAGAGAAACTGATAGCGAACAGCATGGATCCTGATCAGACTGCGCGGATGCGCAGGCTGGTATTGATCCATGCTGTTCGCAAACCCATTATGTTGGTTTTGTCGTGACGCGGCTCATATAGTAAATTAATTAGTAAAGTGGCGCGTGTTGTTCTTAAAATAGAACATCTGATACCGCAATGTTACACGCCTCGAATAATGATGTTATTCTTTACAAATAAATGCAGAAGAGGAATTTGCATAACAAAGAAGACTAATATCAATCTTCTACCAATTTAAATAATCTGTTCTTGCGTTCCATACTAAGAAATATTACAGTTAAAACAACGTCTCTGTATTTTGCTTAGAAAAAAATCAAACTAGCTCTTAGCATTATTAGTATATTGTACACAAACAATTTCATACATGCATATATTTTATAAAATTCTTTTACTAGTTCATATAATTACAAATAAAATCTACAGGTATATATTGATTAAAACAAAAATATGCATCATGTGTACATGCATGTACGGAAGAGCATTAGTGCCAGGTGAATGTTTCTTATTAACTCGAAATTTCGAGTTACTAATTCGAAATTTCGACTTACTTATCTCGAAATTTCGAGTTACTAACTCGAAATTTCGACTTATTAACTCGAAATTTCGACTTACTTTTCTCGAAATTTCGAGTTACTAACTCGAAATTTCGACTTACTAACTCGAAATTTCGACTTACTAACTCGAAATTTCGAGTTACTTATCTCGAAATTTCGAGTTAGTAACTCGAAATTTCAATTTACTAACTCGAAATTTCGACTTACATTGCACGACATTCATTGGTTGCCGGTGAAAGCAAGGATTGAATTCAAGATACTTTCTTTCGTGTGTAGCTGTTGCACATTGACAGAGCACCTTTAACATTTATTTAACAGAACAATTTTATAGGGTCAAATTGTCCACACATACTGAACATATCCCTCGCTTTTTTGTGGAGGGGGGGGGGGAGTGTAAAATCACACTTTCCACATTTCCGTGTTAACCGGGTGTTTCTTTTTCTTAAGCACACATACAACCATCATGTGGAGAAACAATAAGTCCAAAACCCACCCTATTGTAAACTGTGCAATATCATGTGTTAAATAAATTTTAAATGGCGTGTATACGCAAGTTAGTCTGTCACGTTTCTTTATACAAATAATGTTTTGTAACATTATTCATTATTTACTAATACTTTGATTCATATTGTGTTGATAAAAGTTGATAAAAGTGATACTTGTTGTTATATATATGTTGGGAATAATATAAAAGCATCCGATTTTACAAGAAATATAGTCAGTCCAACAATTTTGACAAAGTCCTCAGCACGCCCTATTTTGGCCACGCCGCGATACTTTCCTAAGATGTCCCACACGTGAAGTATAGGATCGTTTTTTTACAGGGATGAGAAGAATATGATTAGTGAAAAGATATGTTCGAACATATGGGATACAATACAACGTCTGAAGAACGCCTGAACGTACAAATTAAAGGAAGCCTTGTATTTTTTAGGTCGGGTGTGTACATGCCATTACTAAGTTTAAGTTAAATTTCAATAGTTTTTGTCCAGGCACCCGTTTCTCCATCTCCATCGTTCAAATGCACTATATCTTATACCATCTAACTAATAACTTTGGCCATTCTTGTAATGTTAATAAGTCGAAATTTCGAGTTACTAAGTCGAAATTTCGAGATAAGTAACTCGAAATTTCGAGTTAGTAAGTCGAAATTTCGAGTTACTAAGTCGAAATTTCGAGTTAGTAAGTCGAAATTTCGAGTTAGTAACTCAAAATTTCGAGATAAGTAACTCGAAATTTCGAGATAAGTAAGTCGAAATTTCGAGTTAGTAACTCGAAATTTCGAGTTACTAACTCGAAATTTCGAGTTAATAAAAAACATACACCTGGCACTAATGCTCTTCCGTATGCATGTATCTGTGCATATCTGACAATGTTGTCTTTTGATTATTGAAATTCATATCAGTCAAATTAAAACAAAATGTTATAAAAATTAATTACATATTTTACTATATTATATATACTATACTATATTATATCATTGTTTAATTTTAACCTGATATACATTAATTGGGGCGGTATCACTGTGTAGTCGCTGTCTTTCAATAACTTGTCCCTCGACTTTTGTTTGAATCCCATCATCAGGGCATTTTGTTTTGTTTCATGTAAGAACGCTATACAGCCAGCTTACGTAAGGTCAGTTGTTGTACTCAGTTCCCTGTTTGAGCCTGACATAGTGTAAAGAGTGGCCAAAAGCTAGAAAGTCGACATATGACCTTTGCAATGCCAGTGTGACTAGAACAAAATATACCCTTTATCACATTCTCATATATAGCATCACGCAGAAACTGTTCTCACCTTGAGCAATTAACGATTATTCAAATCATAGTTGACTGTCATGCTATAAATGATAGCTTTTTTTTTAAAAAAAGGACAACGTACATATAGTTGAACATTACCATACAAATAGTGGAGGTTTAACATACAATTTCGTTCATAAACAGATGGAATGCTATTAAGCATATAGAAAATGTGTGAAAGTGTTGAACAGTCTTAGTAAATTATGATGCATTAGAAGAAAAATTTCACATAACGATGCGCAACAAGTTGATTTATGAATAAATTATTCACATTCAACTAGTTGAAAAATGTCATCAGGACGTATTAAAGTAGACGTTAATAATCTTTTTGGAAAGATTTAAACTTTGAAATGAATTACAAACGTAGAAAAAGTGACAAAAACAAACAAATAGTGCTTTCTGATTGGTACAATCTGTGGCTGAGTGAGTAAAGATAGATCTTTGGATCACTTGTCTATTACATATATAGCATTGATATCACCTTCTAAATTACACCATTCTCATAATTCTGCTTTAACCGGTGCCCAGGTGGTATGTGGATGATAGTATATATTACTCTGCCGTCCGTGAACAAGCTCAATTCAACCCTAGTCGGCGTCATTTTAAATATGACAGTGTTGGCGAACTTTCAAATGTCCAACTTTTCTTATTTGTTATGTAATTGCTTTTCACTTTTCTTTTGCAAGAAAAAGCAAAGGAACATTGTATAGTGGAATATCGACAGGTGAGGTGTAAAATAAATCCAATAAAACACGAACCCCACTTGATTTGTACTTTTCGTTCAGAGAGCATTCAAATATATTTCTTTTTTTAACATAAAGTTGTAATAATTTTTTAACATAAACATAAACATTTAATAATATCGATAATATGCAGATTATTTATCACTGTGCAAATGAGATATTTTGCACATCAGCTCTCAACCTGACCTTTGAACATTTCGACATTTTGAACAAAAAGTAGTGGACCCTTTGTGCAACTTTTTGAAATTTTGTTCTCTTCTTTTCCTTCTTTCTTTTCTGTCATTCTAAATGCTTTTCTTCGCATGTAATTGGTGATTAGTCTGTATGATTGTAAATATTTTTGTCAAAATATCGGAATCATAAAAGTAAATACCTTCTCAGATAGGAATAATCGACTATTCCATGACTTGATAACTAATTAACCTTTACTCCGCCTAATACGTTAATGGCCGTCTCCTTAACTATTAAACATTTTGGTGAAAATTTCAACATATATACTGAATGAATAGTGAAAAATGCAGGCTAGAATCAAACGGCACAGATGTGTCTGCTGGTCTTGGTCTGCACTGGTCACATGGGCCGCAAGCGGGCTCAAAATGAAGATACTAGTGTTTAAAACTTGAAATTCTTATTTAAAGGAACTCCACTGAGGTCAAAATGCCTGAAATATATAATTAATTTCTTACAAAGATTATCTGGGGGACTTAAATATATTTGTATTTTTGTGCTATTCTTAACCGAATTTGAGTGGAAAGCGTTGCAACGTGTTTCAATTTTGACTCATTCTTCACAATAAGAATAACTGTTCTGAATATACGGAGTGAGTGAACGATCTGAAATTTTGCACATATTTTATTGGTCTAAGCCTACATCAAATGAAACATTCATCTCGAAAAAATCATTTGCAGTTCCGTCATGTCAAATCACTTCAGTAGAGTCCCTTTAAATAAAATGGTACTCCAGTACTAAGTGACAAACCGATCTTTACATTTGCATAAATATACGTTTTATATATAGCAAATAGCACAAAGCTGAATGTTAATTATATATTGGTTGTATTATAAATATATTTATTATACCATTCAATTAAATAAAGTTATCATTTGACAAGTGCACGAATATTTCTTTTTTCCAAATTGATTTATTATTGTTAAAATAGGTTAAAATTTAGTAATTTGTCTTCCGATTGACTTTCATGATTTGAATACTTAGCAAAGAACATTTGAACTACCGATACATTTATCTTACAGAGACTTTTCAAAATATATCTGAATGGATACCGCGAGGATACTTGAAGGTGTATGCCAAAGTTTTCATATCTACATATAAACGCACATT